GTAATTAATTTGTTTTAATTTTTTTTAATTATTATTACCCCTAGAACTCTTTTTTAGATTTTTTTTTGTTTAATGTATAAGGGTAGTTTATCACTTTAAGGTGTGGCATCAATGAATTCAGTATTTTATTTAGGTCGTTTTCTGTTTGTTTCTTAAGAAAAGTATGGTGTACCGTTTTGTATAGATTATTTTTTCAATGTTAAGTATGGAATACGGCTGGGGCTAAAGTTTTGATAAAATTATAGAAGCCATCGGCAACTGAAGTATCCGTAAAAGACAGTGTTTTTAATGTTTTTTTTTAATACTTCGAATAAAGTTTTTTCCGTTTACTTTATTATACAGAGAGATATAAACATTATAAAGGGGTCGTCCATAAACGACGTCACACTCCTAGGCGGAAAGTGTTTTTGGACTATTTCGGGAAAGGGGGGGGGTGTCACGTCACATGTTTAAAAAGTACATTTTTAAACTAAATATTGCGTTATTTTGCTGGGTTTTTTTAAAAGACTTATGAACATTTTTATAAAGATATGCTTTGACATTTTTTTGTCTAAATGCAGTGACGGAGGGTGGGGGGGGGGGGGGGGCAACACACCTAAAGTAAAATACATATTCATTTGTGCCAAACCAGTCTGTTACCTATGCTAAATATATCTTTATATAAGTTTATATACTCTTACTAAAATCACTCTCTCTCGGTAGCATTCGCATTTTTTAAACATCTTTTAATAATTATTTAATGACAGTTAAATTGTACCAGAATTTTTTTTTTAAATATTTTTGTTTGAAAAATGTGGAAAAAAACTGAGGTCGGGTTATTTTGGCTTTAGGTCAAAGTTCAAAACTCATTTTTAATTTATTATTCATGACTTTTGAGCTTTAACCTGTATGTGGTAAAATACTCTCAATGATCAGATTAAGTTTTTAGCTTTAAACTTAATCTGTGCTGAGATTTTTTTAACCATTTTACTCTAAACTTCTTTATGACTTTAATCTTTTTTTTTTTCTTAACATGAGCATCATACAAATTCCCATAGACACAATGTATTGCTAGATTAATGTTCAAATTATGTAAGCAACAATTTTAAGAATCAACTTGGAGTTGCATTTTTATTGTTACACTGTTCGCTATTTTGAACATATAATCATAAATACGGTATATTTAATTAGGTTTTTTTAAACAGAAAAATAAAAACAATCACTAAAACATTTCCCGAAATCCCATCTATAAACACCTAAACTTTGTTTAATAATCTTTTTTTTATTTTTAAAAATCGCGTGTTTTATATTTATGTTTTAAATTCTGAGTTTGCTTCATTTTGTTTTATTTTTATTTATTTTTTGTTTTTTTTTTAATTGTTTTTTTTTTGTTGTTTTTTTAATGGGATTAAATTAAGCATATTGTGATAGCATATTTCAAAGGGGCTGAGTGTCCCCCTTGGTTACGACATAGATGCTACTAAAAGCTACAATTGGCTTATACTCAAAGCAAAATGTGTTTATGTGTTAGCTAAAAGGTCAATTGTTTTAGATATAGGATCAGGCCTTAAAGTGTTAGTATAAGTATTTTAGTGATAGGTATACTATTAAAATGTTAGGGTTTGGGTCAGTTATTTTAGGGATAGGTATAGGGTCGGATATTAAAATGTTAGGGTTAGAATCAGTTGCTAAAGGGACAGGTGTAGATTCCGTCGTAAAGCATCGGGTCAGCGTCTATAGAACTTTTAAGTGCACGCATCACTGCAAGACAAAAGATACCTACCTAAAAAAATCTTACCTGTATAGATACCTCAAAAAATTCTTACCTGTGTAGATACCTCGAAAATTCTTACCTGTATAGATACCTCAAAAAAGCCGTACCTGTATAGATACCTCAAAAAATTCTAACCTGTATAGATACCTCAAAAAATTCTTACCTGTATAGATACCTAAAAAAATTCTTACCTGTATAGATACCTCAAAAAATTCTTACCTGTATAGATACCTCAAAAAATTCTAACCTGTATAGATACCTCAAAAAATTCTTACCTGTATAGATACCTCAAAAAATTGTTACCTGTTAAGATACCTCAAAAAATTGTTACCTGTTAAGATACCTCAAAAAATTCTTACCTGTATAGAAACCTATTCAAAACAATGTCTACCCAAATAAATGCCTATTACAGTAATGACCGTGATGTACTATATCCATCGCGATATTGCCCTCATATCCCCCGCCCCTTCGATTTCACTATTAACCACCATAACCTAGCCCTACCCTATCGATTAGCTCTATTGGTTACCTATAAATAGCCCACTAGCAGTAAAAAAACCTCGACTTAATTACAGCTAGAAAATCGTATGCTGGGGTTTGTTCAATTGTTTACGGACCTAACCGCTCAACTCCGAAATTTTCTGGCTATTAATCCAATTATTGTGGGGGAAAATAATTGGGACCATTACCTCCTATCGACTGGATCTCTGTAAACAGAGCTGGGGCTTTCGAAATTATGGGATGGGATGCTTCACTGACTTTTGGCTCTGCGTTTTTCTATTCGACACGTTTTAATGCATTCTGTAATAACTGTAGTCCACTTTTTTCAATGACTAACTTTTTTTTTTTTAAATTACATATTTACGAAAGCGTGACGTATGTTAAAATACCAGAATTAAATGTCTACATTGTGTATTTTTATATTGCTTCTCCGAAAACTATAACAATGTAAATATAAGTTATCAAACATATTTGGTAGTATTATTTTCAAATATAGCAAAATCACCTTCTTGATAAAACAATTATAATTGCATGCTTTTGTAGCTGCAAATATCCCACTTGGAAGCACGCAAGGGTTTGTTTGTTTTATTAATATCTACCGTAGATGCGAGGTTAAGATTCGTTAGCAATACTTTTAATTTATGCTTAAATAATCAAATTTCGTTCAGTCTTTTAAAAAAACGAAGGTGGATAACAATACATATTTGGTAAGAATATTATTTTTTAAAGTGTTATATTCTGTTTAAAATGTAAGTTCCACTTTTCAGTATTTCAGAAATAATTTACGATGTTCTCTATTAAAACTGCGAGAATGCTAGAAAAAAAAAACGCAAGCATTTGTAACTAAACACATTTGGTAATATTATCTCCCTTGTGTGTTGAGTGAACTGCCCCTTGGTTGATATTGATCCAGCCCATCCTGTAGAATTTGTATTTTTTATCCAAACGAAACAACATTAAATTCAGAAAAAAAATCCTATTTCATATCTCGCGTCCCGCCGGCTACAAAAAAAATATACTCCTAACCAACCTAATCTTTCCAAAAGTTTTTTTAAATATTTTAATTTAATTTCTTTTAAGCCTATTAAAAACGATATTATTTTTCAACATACACACCAAAATAAATCGCTCAAAGAATTATTTAATTATGTGGACTACAGGAGCTGTATGTTGAATAAAATAGTTATTAACGACATACCCATGAAAGTATATTGTCTGGCCAAAAAGTGTGTAAAACAATCATTGATTGTCTTTCCATTGGGAAAAAACAGATATTCATAGGGACCTCACATCAGGCATTAGCGAAAAATTATGAACTAAAAATATCTTACAAAGATCGTTGGGATAATCTTAAATCAAACACAAAGACCTTATCCGAAACTGCGAAGTATAAATCTTGTAAAGTATAATGGAAAATGGAAAATGACGTCAAATTAGGCCGCCACAAAAATTACGAGAAACAAACTTAAAATATCTTACAAAAATTGTTTGGTTACTACCTAAACAAGACATTAAGACCACCCAAAACTACGACGTATAAAGCATGTAAAGTAAAATGTCAAATCAGGCATCGACAAAACATACGAGGTATAACCTAAAGTGTATCTTACAAAAGCGGTTGGATTACCTTAAATAATGCCTCAACAAATCCTACAACGTCTAACAAGATATAAAAATACATCGCCAAAAAAAAATAATGTTCGCTCAATCTTGACCACATTTTTTATCATATAAATATGACCTCACTAAAAAAAACTCATTTTTTTACCTCACATAAATGAAGTGGGAGAAATAAATTATAAAGTCAACCCTACCTAATGGTATTAACCCCCTCTCATTCCGATGGTAAATAGCTCCCTCTCTTTCAATTACCCTTCCAACATCCCCCTCCCATTTATAAGCGATATTGATTTTTGTTGAATCCCCAAATAACATACTAGCTTATTACAGTACTTAGTCCCTTCAAAATGCGCCGCAGAACGAAAAAAATATGCTTTTGATTTTTATTATTTCTATTTTTAATGAGTTGAAAACAGAGCGTACGGAAAGCTTATTAAAGTTTATTATCGATTTTTTTATTCTCGTGTTCTGCTGTTAAAAAATACGATGAAATAAATCCTAGCTACAATAGCTACGTAAGATAAACGCTGTCATTTAGATTTTTTTTTATTTAGCTTAAATTATATGTTTTAACCTCACATAAATTCGTGTACAAAACTGTTATAATAACAAGCTTTTTCCATGCATAAAAAAAATTTGAAAATAAGCTTTTTTATCTTTATGTATGCAAATAATAAAAGCTTTAGTAGATCAAGAAATCTTTTCAATCCAGTTTAGCGATGAACACAGACATGAACTTATGGCCAACATAATGTCTAGAAATGTTTATTTATTTTAAATCTTAATTTGGCGACACAGAGGTTTTGATTTTTATTTTAGATTTCCATTTTTTTTTAAAATAAATTAATTATGGTTAGGCATTTTGTAATAAAGCATATGAATACCGCGCGTGGGCCAATCGATGTACAGCCTCCCATTTTACATAATATCGCCGGCTGTGCCGTGACGTCACTCCGGTGTCATGTCCCAAATCTGCCATTCTGACGTAGGTCGTGGGTTATGGAATAGCTAATGACATGAGCTGAGTGTGGGTCCAATACAGAAGCGAAGGGTGGGGGGTGCAGAGCCGGCGTTAGGAATACGCGGGGCCTATGGCCAACCATCCGCGCGGGGCCTTTCCATTATA